GGGGTGATTGTATCAAGCAACTGTGAGTTTTTCTCAAAGATAGATAAGAATTCATAACTATCTCCTTAATTAATTATGTTTTTGACTCACCTTACGAGAAAATGAAGGCATGATCAGATGAAAATCAAATGTTTTTCTTTAATTCAATGAAAAATAAAATGTAAAACAGTGGAAAAAGTTTATCCCATAAATAATTGTAGGACTCTTAGAGATGACAATTGGAGCAGGGTGAGGCGAGATGGGGTAGGGGAAACAATAAATGGGGCATGATAGGAGAGCTTCTTAATGTGGTGAAGTGGGCTAGGGCGAATTTAGATATATTTTAATGAGGCAGAGCAAGTTTGGGTTTGATATAGTTGTTGCGATGGTGGTGAACATAAATTGGTATTATTTTTTCACTGTGGTATTAGAGTTATGATAGGATTTTTCAATTAAATAGTATTTCCCCCCATCTCAAATTACATTATATATTTAATAAGGGAGTAAAAATTGAAGTTGTACGATTTTCAGAGTGTTCTTGATTCTAGCTTGGGAGGTAAAATGAAATATGTTTGTTCCTAAAGTGAAACTACAATTTTTTCCATTTTGTCGAAAATCAAACAAAATTTTGAACACATGTATGAATCAGGAGTGGCTACAGAGGAGTAAAGATCAGAGGTTTTTCCAATTTTCTTGATTCATGGTTCTTGAGGGGTAAAAATAATTTTTTTATGGTGTTTCAAAGTATAATCACTGTATGCTTTTTATGTTTTTTTTTTGTGAAGTGGATAGTTGAAAAAAGAAGTCGTTATTAGTGTTTTTGTTCTGTAAGTCTGCATATTCAATGAGGCGAGATAGGGTATGGCTTAGCAGGGAGGGCGGGGGCACAATATGTTAGAAATTTCTAAATAGGGTAAGGCATTTTTATGAGTCATACATGTGTCAAGAATTTCTATACGTAATTGGAATAAGAAAGACATTTTTAATATATGAAAATTATTTTGGGAAACGAAGGACGGGGGAGGAGGGAGGCAAGTGGTGTATCAAGCAATCTGTGAGTTTTTCTCAATAATAGATAAGAATTCAATAACTATTTCTTTAATTAATTACATTTTTTTTACTAACCTTACAAGGAAATAGAGACATGGTCAGATGAAAATCAAATGTTTTTCTTCAATTCAAATGAAAAACAAGATATAAAAAAAAGTGGAAAACATTTATCCAACTAATAATTGCACGACTCTCAGAGATGACAATTGGGGCAAGGTGAGGCGGGACGGGGTAGTAGAAATAATAAATGGAGTAGGGCAAGAGGACAGGGTGGGAGAAACAATAAATAAGGTAGAGTAGGAGAGCTACTTAATAAGGTGGAGCGGGGTGGTACATGATAAAAGATAACTTTAGAGATATTTTAATGGAGCAGAGTAGGTTTGAGTTTGATATAGTTGTTGCAATGGTGGTGCACATGAATCGTTACTACTTTTCACTATGGTATTAGAGCTATGCTACAATTTTTTTAATTAAATAGTATTTCTCCCATCTCAAATTACTTGATATGTTTAATAAGAGAGTAAAAATTGAACCTTTTTGAGTTTTTAGAGTGTTCTTGGTTCTAGTTTGGGAGGTAAAATGAAATATATTTGTTCTGAAGTGAAACTATAGTTTTCTACATTTTGACGAAAATCGAACAAAATTTTGAGTATATATATGAATCTGGAGTGACGACAAAGGAGTAAAAATTAGAGATTTTTTTTAGTTTTCTTGGTTCATGGTTCTTGG